GAGAGGGAGAGAGAGAGGAGAGAGAGAGAGAGAGTTCTCTCCGCCTGGAGCCTTGGAGGGGCGTGATGCCACCGGCCGAGTCCTGCCAGTGATCCGGACCGATCTTTTGGTCCCGTCTTTTTGCTGCTTGGCCTGGTCTCTGCATGTGTACCTGCCTACCGTGGATACCTAACCTTTCCCCTGCAACTACAAAGCCACACCACCTCTTTCATCTTTGTCTCGCCGCTGTACCGTCCCTCCATGTTCCCTGTCCGTTTTTAGGTTCAGAGAGGCCCGAACGGATGGGGCTCCTTCGGCTCTTGGCGATGAGCATGAGAGCTTCAGATGGCGGCGGCGATCAAAGACTAAGGGACTCGTCATGATGGTGGGCGTGGTAGTGTAAGTGTGCTTGTCAAAGCGTGCGTGCAACTATATGTTTACTAAGGATTTCGTAATCTCTCGTCTGTCGCCATGACTACACACACACAGTGACAGACCTGTCTATGGACAGCAAAGATTGATGGCACGAGGGCGCAACGGCGGCTCCAACGGCGACGCGTTGTGCATAAAGAAAGAACAAAGGGAAAAATACGGCTACTTGTTGCCGGGCCGGACGGGCCCTGTCTGTTGCTTACCGGCTTCGGATTGATTGCACCACCTGAAGCTTGCCCTTGTTGGGGGAAACCCGGCGGCCGCCTGAAAATCCTGACCTGGCATCCTCGAGACATGGCAAAAGTTACTTACCGGTACCCTCCCGTACCTGCTCTTGTCTGGACGGGGGCGTGCGTGCGGGAGTAGGTAGACATCTATCCCGTCGTCGAATAACCATAACGGCTGCCAGCCCGGCCCTCTTTGCTTGGCATCGGCACCTCCCTTCTACTTTCCCACGCCCCCCTCCCCCTCACCCCCAAGAAAAGAAATACAGCCATCGTATCTGCACATGTGCACGTTTCCGTTCCATATCCTCAAACGTCATGGACGAGAGCACAAAGCGAGACCCGCAGCGCACCGATCCGGACTCTCCCGATAGCGGCGGAGCAAAGGGCCGTCGTGGATGGATGGATGGATGGGGAGCGGCTTTTTTGTCCGTAGACGGCCGGCCGCATCGCACGTGGGGTGTGACGAGGAAGGCGCTGCTGCTGCCGCCGTGCCCGCACACCAACATCGGGGGGCGTCCATGTGAGCCGCCCGCCCCGCCGCCGTCGTGGTCGCTGTCGGCCGCGCGGGCGGGCTGATGCAGCACAACAAAAAAAAGGG